CTAGTGTGGCAAATGCAAATGATCAAAAAAGTTGGAAGAAATGGAGAATAAGATTATTTTTTTCTTTTTTGTTTTTAAAGGATTTTAATTAAGAATACATGTACCAATAATAAAAATTAAGAATAAGGAACTAAAAATAAAATAAATACTTGGACCTTTTAACGGTTTGTCGGTTTCAGCAATTAGCAGGACCAGTGGTGCTACAAAATCAATAGGTTGGGGACTATGATGTTCAAAAATGTATGTTGAGGACCAACTCCACAATTTTCCCCACAAACAAATTTGTATCCTCTATTCTTTTTATATGACGGCTGGAGCTGATTGCACGACGAACAAGGAGCTGTTAAGCCACGCGCTTTATTGGGTAGCGCGATCAGTTAAATGTTAAGGAAAAATATCTTAGGATGCTTTTTAAACGAGTAATGTTATTCATTCCCGTGGGGATGAAAACATAGTCTATGTGTCATTAAATGATAGGCTAAATGAAAGATGAAATTAAATGACTTATTTAATTTCACTTATCATTTAATGTCACATTAGAGCCACATAAACTGTGTTTTCATCCCCAGTGGAGATGAATAGCATTACTCTTTTTAAATAGAAAAGGAAAGGTAAAACAGGTTTTGCTATTCGTCGAGAACCACGTGAGCACAAACGTCCAACCATTAGGAGAGCAATACATGCATGCGCCCCTGAAGAGACGTGGCCCTATAACAGAACCCAAAAAAGCGTATAGATCTTTTGACCACGCTTATTTTGATTCTAATAAAAATAATGTTTCGATTTAATTGATTATCTACCAAAAAAAAAAAAAAGGCAGTTTCCCATACAACATTTCAATTGATGTTTTACACAATCAATTATTCTGCATCGCCCCAATTGGGGGCTTTACAACAGTAATCATCAGCCAGTGCAATAATGTATTGTTCATACAGCTGAAGAAATGAATACAAATTTTTGAACTCCCTAAAACAATGTGGGCTCAATGTCAAAACTGAAAGAGATGAGCCGCAATACAATAAATAAAATAACACTCTACACCAGAAAAATAATTTTGGTTTTTTAAAAATGATTCGATCTATGTGACGGCTGCTCAGGTCTCACGGCATCAAAGCTTTTTGAAGTTTCAAAAGCCAGAATGCAATGTGCATTACAAATAACCGAGCTTCTAGTTGAAATTCTTCCAAACAAACAAGTAAATGAGATAGAAAAGACTTGTTCTGCAACAATTTTGACTCGACAACAGCCTCAGAAGAGACTCTTCCAACAATCAAAAATGTCTCATGAGAAGATCCTTGCATCTGTTCAAGAAGCAAAGTGGTGCTTGTTAGGAATGTAAAAAAGTGTAATCTCTTTGAATTCTTCGTTGTCTATCACAATACTTAAATAAGTAAAGTAGGAAAAAAATAATGCAAGAAGGGAACGCAAAATTACATCCATGCTCGAGATAGAATTAAGAGCTGAATTTTATGAGAGTCAAAATTTAGAAAGAAAAAATGTGCATAATGAACAAATTCATTTGATTTTATTGATTCTACGGACCCGAAAATGCAGCGGTGTTTGGAGAAGAGGAAAAGTGGCGACAACTCGTAAGTAAATGATGAACAACACCTTATTTGATTCTTTGATTGGCATGAACTACTTTTCTTTCCCTCCGAAATTAGACAGAAGCATGAACAACTACTGAGAAGACTAAGCTATCCTCAATTACAGTCTGTAGCCTAAAAAAATTAGGGGATGGCTGCATAATCCAAATAAAATACATTTTTCTTTCTTTTCGCGTCAATTCTTTCTACTCTCCCTTTCCATTCCCACTCCACTTTCCCTTGCTAAATAATGATTCAGATTGAAAAGTAAACTTTCCTTGTTAGAGAAAATGCATCTTCTCTCACTACCCCTCCATGAACCATATAGCTGAAAACAGACATGTTAACTTCTCCTAAAATTTTGAAAAATAATTTGGTAAATGAAAGTAAAGAGAAACTGAACTAAAACTGTGTATTGTGAAAGACATCTATTCAGCAAGATTGAGAAATAGAAAGCCGTCATAACAACATATTAACAAATCACAGCAACAAATTAATGCAAAACAACTCTATAAGGAACACATGGTGATTTTCAGGGTCATACAACCAACAGAATCAATCATATAGAAATTCAGAATCCGAGGTCAAAATATCTCAAATATTGTTCTTAGAAACATTCAAATTTTGTAAATCATGTACATGAGAATTTACATGTAAAGTGATACAATTCTATAATGCAAATAGTTTAAAACAATTTCATACCAGTGACTGATTAACTGTACGCAAGCAATCATTTGTTTTGAGCATTAGAAGAATAACACGAGGGAGTCTCCTCAGAAGCTCTGTGATTTGAGAAAAATATTGTGAAGCATACATCTGCAAACCAAAAAAAAAAGAGTAGGTTACTGTAATAAATTAAACTGAAGTACTCAACCTTACCCTAATGAACATAGATAGCTAAATCTCAAAATTTCCAATACAAGGTCCTTCACAGCTATACATGAATTACACTTTAAAATCTAGCATTTTGCTTCTTTTGAAAATTTTATTCTAAGGAAATTTGGAGGTAACAGAAACTGAAAAGAAAAGGTAGCTCTTACTATAGCAAACACAATAAATTAAATGAATCCATCTAAACTGGAGGATAGAACCATGGAAACAAAGGAAGCTATGATAATACAAGGCCGTATATTTCCATGTAGTCACCTGGAGTTCTGAACGATCACTGTCGGTGCCTTGGACAACTAGATGATCAACAGAAGGATCAATAACTTTGTTCCACGGTCTCATTGTAAGAATTCCTGCAAATAATGCATAAAGATCCTCTCCAGCACCTAACTTCACACTATTTTCCTTAATTGCATTGGCATCTGAAAATATCAATCCCTGTCATAAATGCCAGGATATCATATTACCAATGAGATTTCATAGCGAGAAACACAAAAGGTAAACACAATTTTCTGGAACAATATGCACCTTCCACAATGATGCATAGCTGATTCTGGTCGAAACGTCAAGATCTTTGTATAGACCATGGTCTAGCAGTATCAATTGTGGTTTTTTCTTTCCTGCACAGTATCAAGTTATACATACCCCTGTCAAATTTAGCACTATACATGCAACCGCATTAAGAGATAAGCCAAAATCAAGTTGAAAGCATGTAAATGCTCAGGGGTGGAACTCAAAAGAAAACTTAACGTAGTTTCATATGCTAGATATCTAATCATGTAACAAATGCGCCTGTTTTCTATTTTAAAAAAATCATCTCATTAAACTTGAAAAGGTGTCAGGATCAACTTCTCCCGGCAAAGAAAGTTTTCTTAATTGATATAGAGTTCTAAATTAGGGTATTTCTTTGTTTCCTTTGGATATCATCCAGGTTTGAGATATTCGAGTTCTACAAAATTCTTCAGACGTTAATTTCTCCTTTTTTATTACGTGTCATCATTAACACGTGAAAATGAACACAGTAAGTTGCAAAAGAGCGGGACTCCCTCTCTCTTGAAAACTCGTGTTTGATCTCCAATAGAACTAGCGGGGTCTATTTGTAAAGCATCTTAACACAGACTAAAGGACTTTGTCAGGGGGCTACGGTGATCCACTCAAGGAATTAGCTTTGTTTCAGGCGCTGTACAGGCATAAATATGAAATCCTACAGGACCATGCCCCCATAGTCCAGGGCACACTCGTCCCCATAAATGCACCACCCATTAAAAAAAATAAAATAAAATAACTGCACATGCAACTTGGAGAATGGAGAATGTTGGACTCACGAAGAAACAAGTGTAACAATGGTATATTCTCTCTCGACCGCAGTGATGAAATTTGAGCACGGAAAAGGACACGTTACTAAATATCCCCAAATGCAAATTCGAGGGGCTCGATGCACAAGATAGCAGATAAAAATGAAACAAGATCCACAAATTTAATGTCAAAAAAGAATAATGATTAGTGTGTTTTGCACACGGAGTTTATACCAATAAAGCTTCATTTGTATACTTAATCTGTTGA